TTTCAGATTCCAGACTCCTTAACTTTGTTCTCTGGTCATTTTCTTAATGGGGGAGATTGGCAGGATTCTTAAAAATAGTACCTCCCTGTGGAACCATACAGAAAAAGAACATGTTCCTTTAAAACAAATAGACAAACAAACAGGACAAATATTCTCTTTTTCTTGCTGTTGTTTGCTTGCTTTGTGAAAATTCCCTTAAAGAAAACTCAATTGAATCAAGTTCTATTCTGACACTGTTTTCCCTTTACTACTAAACTAAGTAATCCTCATTAGCATTTAACATAGCTCCTGATACATAATAAATGTTTACAGAATGAATAAATGTAAAATTCACAAATGATCAGAAAAGCTAACCAAGTTTTCATTAAACAGGTGAAATGAAACAAACATGAACTAGTAAATGATTTTCCAGTTACTTCTCACGATATTCATTTTCACTTTGAACAGAAGGTGGCGCCAAAGACATATTTATCCACTAGCTAGGATTCTTTCCCATTCAACAAAATTAAGCAAAACAAAAAATTTTCTTCTCTTTACAAATATTTTCTGTGTACCCTCACAATAAGATTCACTTGGAGATAAATGTAAGCTGTAAAAAAATGGATCAAAATTCCACCCAGGTCCAATTAAGCTTTGATTATTAAATCTTTTTCAAGAAGGATACACTGCTAAATAAGTGGGCAACAAGTTTTCAATTGAGTGAATACTCTCAGAAAGGAAATTGTCAGATCCTAGAAATTTGTGTTGAAAAAGCATTCTAGTACAAGTTGGCAATATGATGGGAAATTTTCTTTATTCTGAATGAAATAAAGTTAACCAAAATATAATTAACAAAAAGTCATATCAACACTATGTCTTCTGGCTGGTTTTAACAATTTGGGTACGGCATTTTCCTTTTCCTTTTTAAAAACTTCCCAGGGTGTGTGTGCACTCACCAGAGAAAGATAGAGACAAATAGAGGGAGATAGCACCCTTCCCCATGGAGAATGGTCACACAGCAATCCTTTCTCTTCCTTTTCTCCATCCTGCTGGGATTCTCTGAGGTTGGCCATGTAAGATTAAGCTCTCAACCACTGGGCTACTGGGTTGGCCTTGAGTAAAGAATTCCTAAACTTGCAAACTACTATGCTCCAAATGAACTTTTACTCCTACCTTGCTATCAAATAAATATTAGTTGAAAAGGAAATGGGATGCATGTAAAGGATTATTCTGATGCTAATGAGAGGAAATCTATAAGATAATACCTTCTTCCATTACAAAAATCATTCTAGACCTTCCTATACTTACATAGTCCTTTTATTATTCTACAACTGCCTTTGAATTTCCCCCTCCACCAGAATGAAAGTCTTTCAATCCTTCTTCACTTACTCCCATCTCACAGTCAGCTGATAACATCACCTACATTGAGAAATTACCTTCAAACCCTGATTTCCCAAGGCCCACATTCTGTCTCAAAACTTTTTCTTCATGACCCATAGTCACTCTTATTTTAAAGGAGTTAACTATCTTTTCAAAATTAACAACTTCCCCATTGTGAGTGGTATTTTCCTTACAAATAAGCCCATCTGTAATATTTTAAATGCCCTTCTCTTTCCCAGACATAAATTTGCAGGGTATTTTTTGTTGTCGGATTTTTGTTGTTGTTGTTTTTCTTTTAATATGCCAGAGGGGTGCATTCACTGGAGAGAGAAACAGAGAGCAAGTGAAACAGAGAAAGCATCCCCCCCCTATCACCCATAGTCAGGCCCCAATTCCTTTTGTTCCACTCTTCCCTCCTTACAGGATTTTAAGCATGCATGCATATGCCTTGCAAGGTTTTCTTTTTTTTTTTTTTGGAGAGATTTTCACTGTAGGGCGCATGCGCTCCCCAGACAGACAGAGAGAGACATAGAGACAGAAAGCGAGAAATCACCCCCCAGGGGGGATGGTCACGCCGCAATCCCTTCTCCTCCATTCTCCTCTCGGGATCTTGGGCACGCATGCACACGTGCCCGGCGTGAGTTTTTTTAAGCCACCGTGGCCGGGACATGAACCGCGGTCGACTACGTGGGAGTCCAGCGACACAGCCATTACGCTAACTGCTGGTTCCCCCTTGCATGGTTTTCTAAGCCACCAATTCTGATACGCAACTCCATGGTCAGCCATGTGGGATTCAGAGCCCTGACCACATGGCTACAGGCTGGACCTCTGCCTCTTTTTGAAGTTCTTCTTAGTCTACATTTAATGAGGAAAGCCACTAAGGCTGTGTGCTGTTTTTTGGCACATTGCCTATTTCCCATCTCTTGGTAGTTTTTTCTTAATTTGCGGCTTCAAACATTAATTCCATAAGGTTTATCACAAATCTTCTAAAAATTTTAACCCGATTTCCAGAGCCCATGTTTTAACTTGTCAGATATCTTTACTGAGACATTTCAGTTCTTCATACAAAAACATTTAAAACTGAAATTATTATATTTCTTTTAGCAGTTCTGTCCTTCCTCCATCTCTCCATTTAGATTAGTAATATTTTCCCAATCAGAACTCCAAAATCAGTTTCCACAGCCTCCCTTCCCTTGCCCTCTCATTCAATCTGTCATCAAGTTCTCATAATTCTTCCTTCCTTTTCTTTTTCAGTGCTAGTGCTTTAGTTCAAGTTCAAAAAGCTCATTCATCTACCATTAAATACTTTTCAAAAACTCTTACCAATTCATAGCCAATCATTTGCAAATGTTTATGCTATTTACTGAGGTGAGAGCAATCCAACAGTTTGAACATAAGGTAGATGTAAAGTCCTTTAAAAAATTACGACATTCATCTCTTAAAATTTCATGAGTTGGTATTTTGAAACAAAGGTAAAAATGTGAAAGTGTGGTTGGTTCTCATACTAAGAAATCTCAAAATTATGAAAAATATTTTATCCTCCATTGTGCCAATGATGTGCACCTCTCAAAATATGTAGTGGCACCATGGATAAAACATAAAACATAAAGCCTGGTTTATGGCGAAGCCTAGAGAAGTCCTGCAGAAGACAGGAACTGTCCCTGACTGTCCCTCATTCCTCAGAGAGCTGTGTGCCTTCCACAGAGACAAGACTCAGCAATTCGAAAACATTCAGTGCATGCGTCCCCCATATTTTGACAGAATGGAGTAATGGAGGAGAAGGGCTCACCATACCTCATGGTGAAGAGTACTTTCTCCTTCTTCCCACTCTGTCTCTGTTTCTCTCTGTCTCTGGTGAACATACACACCTTCTGACAGAAGTAAATAAGTAGATAAAATTAAAAAGAAAATAGAATTCCTTATAATAAAAATAATGAATCATATATTTTTATTAATGTGTTCTGAATTGAATAAAACAGCTTTCATTTGAAACAACATCATAGACTCATTCAAATAAGAGAGGAAAATACAAACAAAACACCAAAATAACAGTTATGAGTCGGTGAACTGAAAACTTGCAAGTCAGAATATAATTCCTACTTCTGTAACATAATCCCCCCCCCCTTCCTTTAGAGAAAAATGTCTGGAAATAGGAAAGCCGACAAATGAGAGAGCAAAATCTTGCCTTATAAGTGCAACATTTCAAAAGATATTTTATTACTCATTTCAGTGAAAGCATATTTAGGGAAGAGTATCTTCCAGGAACTATTTGCCATCCTTTTTTTTTTTTTCTTGGTATTTGTCTTCGTGAGAAAAGGGCTAGGAATATTAAGGCTGAATGGGTTTGCTTTGTTTGCAGAAAATAATGACCAAGAGATATCCTTGCCCAATCTGAGGTGCATCACTGAAGCCTGTTTATGGGGAACTGTCCTACCACAGTCCTCTGCTATGGCATCTCGGGAGTCCTCAGAAGAGCTGCCCACTAAGAACGAGGCCACATGACTCAGGCCATTATAAACCCTAATGCAGAGTCCTAAAGAGGGACAGCCATGGACGACGTAGTGAAGCACATAAAGATTTTACGCCCAGCTCTAAAGCCATTGAGCAGGAAACTCTCCAATGGGCTTCAGAGGGTCAGAGATTCCTAAAGTGGATTGAAGATTGAATAGTTTTAGAATGCATTTAATGTCAACTTCACGTAGAAGGCATCTATAGCATATATTTGGTTTAAAAATCTCCACTAAATCCGTACGGATTTAGTTTTTAGTGCATTGGCATGACTAAGACAGAAATACTACACATTTTCAGTTTCTTGGAGTTATGGTAAAGGTCAGATATCGACATTTCAGAGTCAAACAAAATATATTATATATGCAAAGTACATATGTGTGTGTGCATATACACATGTGTACCTTTTCGCTGAACTTTAAAACTAGAGATACACTTTCAAATTCATCATTCCATTTACAGTATCGTAAGCCTGTTACATTGAACACACACACAAACTTTAGAAAAGTTTTGCTTGTAGAAAAAGAAAGAAAAAGTAAAAACCCAAAGTGTCAAGGAATTGTCAATTGGATTGAAGATGGGCATACCACCAAATATGTCCCATTTCCACCATTTCCTTTGTTAATTGTCCCTACTTCAATGAAAAGGAAGGGAATTAGATCACTGAATAGGTCACTCACTCCCACCTGTAACTTCGCACCTTGCCCAATATGAAACAAGTTTGCACTGGTTATACTCTTCTACCATTACTGACACAGTGTAAAAGGTTTTGCTTTACTCTTTTTGTTTTTTAATTTTAGACAATGTTGTCCTGTTGTAAGACATACAATGTTTCATTATCCCTGGTCTTGTGGTGAAACAAGCATTAAAACCAGTCATTTTTGCTCCCAAGGAGCAACTTCCCAGTAGTGGCATTCCCGTGTCTGATGTTATTTTATTTGATCTCATCAGCAAGTTTAAACGAAGACTTCTTGACTTGGCTGTTCCTCTTCTCTTCTCTTCTGCCCCCACCCTTCCAGTTCACCAGCCTCCTCCCCACCTCCTCCCCGCCTTTCCCTTTTCCCACCCCTTTCTTCTAGCCCCACCTCCTAGTTGAGTCAGTGGCTTGAAACTTTTAAAAGCTCTGTGCTCCAAGTTAGAAAAAAGCTTTTACGAGGTATCAGCACTTTTCTTTCATTAGGGGGAAGGCGTGAGGAAAGTACCAAACAGCAGCAGAGTTTTAAACTTTAAATAGACAGGTCTGAGTGCCTGAACTTGTCTTTTCATTTTACTTCATCCTCCAAGAAGTTCAATCACTTGGCGTGCCTACTTCACTTCTTTTAAGCGAAAGAGTAAGTTTTTTTTAAAAAACACTCTACTAGTTTCTTTTTCTACAAGTAAAACTTTTCTAAAGTTTGTAAGTGTGTTAAATGTAACTTAGACTTATGATACTGTAAATGGAATGATGAATTTGAAAGTGTATCTGTAGTTTTAAAGTTAAAATGGAATGTACGGAGTATCTGTATTTTAACTGTTAAAAAAAGTTTCTAGTAATTATGCCACAGGTAAAAGGCTCAAACCTTTCCTTTTAGAATAAAGAACTAGTTTGCTGGGTATTTGGTTCTTTGTTTTAGAGTACCATTTATTTATTTGTAATCAGTAATAGTGTAGGTGCTTTGTAATTTTGGGGGGTGGGGTGGGGAGGGCTAAGGGCCCGAGTTTGGGTTTTTGACTGACAACCCGACAAAAATCAAAGTGCAAATTTGCTTAGCGCTTCCAGTAGTAGCGTCCACTTCACTGCCTTTTCATATGGAAATCCCGATTGCCAAGCAAACTTCTTTTGTAACAAAGTGCTTTGTTAAATCTTGAGGTAACTTGACTTCCACGTGGTTTCTTGCTAGAATGTTTCTCGTTAAACAAAAGGTATCAAACTCAGTACGGATGTCCAGGTTTGTAAATCAACAGTACACAGTTACGTTAAGTTAGCAAACTCTAAGGAAAGACTTGAGACTCCCAGGAGAGCCAGCCTTTACCCCACCACGTTGGCAGTTCAGGAGATGAGACCTTGAATGGCTGGTGGCTGGTTACATCCAGAGCATTAGAACAGAACAGAGTGTTCGCCAGGGTGCGTTTCCAAAATCTCCTCAAACGGGAGCTCCTAGAAAGAACCGGGAACATTTTTCTTAAACAGCGCTTTAGAGAGCACTAACCCCCTACCCCCACCCCTCCGCCTGCGAACCCGCAAGGCTTCAGAGCGCTGGGGCAATGTTTTTAGTCGGCGATCTCAGGGTGCCGGTCAGTAGGCAGAGGACGCTGCTAAGTTAAGGGGTTCAGTTTTTAAAATGCTCTTATCGGTAGCATGCATTCTGTTAACCATCAATGCGACCATACACTTCCGTGCCCGATAAGGATTTTCTCTGTCCTGTCTAAATCCACAGACTGAAGTAATTAGTTTAAATTCTTGGTGCGACCCTGCAGCTTCAAGCATTTGCAGCAGAGAACACTGAAAAGCAAATAAAAATGAAAGCTTTGCCGAGGCCAGGGGCCGGGAGATCGGATCTGGGGCCATCTTAGCAGCCCTCAGCCCCCCCACCCCACCCCCCAGGCGCTTTCGCCGCCTGCGCCTCCGGGTTTTTGAGATGTTTGCCTCAAATCCTTTCAAGTCAACCCCTGCGCAGGTCCGAGTTCCGCCTCTGAACAGAGGTGGGGTCGGAGGGTGGGAGGGGATGGGCGACACGCCAAATGGTGAGAGAACTAACGATTGATTTAATTAAACTTGTCAATCTAATTTCCCACCCCTCTCCCCCTCATCCGCAGTGTCCTCTTTTTCTCTTCAGGTTGTTAAATTGTACTTTGCAGGCGTTGGTAAGGAAAGCTGAGGGCTGGGAATTATCGTGCTTAAACTGCACTTGTAACTCTCCTGAAGTTCTTGAAACTTCCCAAGAATGAGGCGGGGCTGGAGTTCCTTCCTTGGCCCGGGAGGGAGAGGAAAAGAAGACCCTTCATGAAAAATGCCTCGAGTTAATGACGTGTCTCCAGGCAAATCCGTACGGGATTCGGAAACTCAGACTTGGTGTTCCCAGCAAATGGACGCCCACGATCCCCGGTTACTTCCAGATCACATGTTTGCTGAGCATCTCTGATAAAGCTTATCAGCAAGCACCCCCTTAACCCACGTCATGCCCACCCTCACCCAAAGGCTGCTTCTGTTTCTTTCCAGAGATACAAAGTGAGGGTGAGAAGAGGGAGTTATAAGATGTTGTGAACATAGACACGGCTTCTCTGGAGGGGCGTTTAATTTCTTTTGCTTCCCCGATCCAGGTTAGTAGTATGACAAGATGCTGCCTCTCGCCCTCCAAAAATTGGGCACACTTGAAATCGCCCAAAAGTGTCTCGCCAGGAAGTCTGGTTTTTGCTTTTGTACAGGACTGCTGAAAATAAACGCCTGTAGTAAAACAGGGATCTCATAAAACAACCCACTCCCAAGATTGAAATATGCCAGTTATAAGATCCCTTCCAGGAAGAGTGATTAATTCTGGGTAGGCCCAACCGAGTGAAGCAGAATCTGGCCAGGGAAAGAACAGTCAGACCTGGCAGTGTGTGGAATTCCGAGTGAGTGCACCATGCCCCCGCCCCCAAGGCCAAGGCCTGATTGCTTTGTCCTTTCCAAGGTGAGGGTAGAGTGGTCCCCTGTCCTTTGCCTGGAAAACAGGTAGCAGTGCTTCACTCCCACTTTCTTCCCTGTCCAAACATGCCCCACATTTGTCTAATACCTTCTGCAGTTTATCACCACAGCTGCCTCATCCTCATCCACGCAGTTTCTCGCCCTTTACGGCTGTGATCTCTGCCCGCGCTGATCCTTTATGGGAAATGATATCAAGCAAGCATGTGAAAGGGCGTGTTTTCAGAGAGTGAGAGTTGTGTTATTATTTAGATGTCTCCAATTCCTGCATTTCTTTGTTTTATACTATCCAGAGGTGTAACTCCAAAGCAGGCTTCATATATGATACCCCGAGGGAAGGGAATAATAGGAGTCACCCGTGATTAATACCTTCTACTCCACCTTTCCTGGTGCTCTGACTTTCCTTCCAAACTCTCAGTTGTTGGAACTGATGTGCTGAAGCTTGTCCACTCCTACCAGCTAAGCTTGGGGAAGAAAAGGTAGTTGTCTTGTTTATCATTAATGTCAATATGCCATACGGATAATTCAAGTTTAGGGGGGAAAAGGCTCCAGAGTTTCTCCATAGGAGATTAGTCTCTCTCTCTCTCTCTGTCTCTCTCTCTCTCTGATTCTTGAAAAAATTGCCATAATTCTTTACTTTGCTTGTCTAAATTCATCAGTTAGCTATGAGGATACTGACTGTCTTTTCCCAAAATTCAAACCATGCTTGTTTTTTTCCTACGTATCCAGTGGTTTTTTTTGAAATTCCATAGATTTCATATCCCAATGTGGTTAAATACGTAAATTTTAAGAAAATGTGTTTGTGTTAATCATTTCTTAGTTGCTATTTTGCTAAAGAAGAGATGCCAAAAAGTAGAAATAAAAAAGCTATATCTAAAGATCTTTTAAAGAACAATTGCTAAATTTTATTGAGCTCTTACTAAGAGCTTCACACACATGAGTTACCTCATTCAGAGCTTGCTGAAGTAAATAGACTGTTCCTGATCAGTTTATTTGTGAGGGTCCTAAGTGTGTGTTTATGTGGTGGCACAATAACAAGCTCTGCAATAAAAATGGGGTGCAGGAGGGGGAACACCCGTAACTGGTAGAAATATGCTTCCGAAGTTTCTCGGATCACAATTGAAGGTCATGGTTTTGAACCTGCAACTTTTGGCTCTGACATCCCTAAATTAACCTGAAACTGTTTTAGCCGGAGGACCTGAGTAATTGCTGTTGAAGTGGGGAGGGGATCGTCTCATGGGTGGGCATCATCTCCTTGGATGTGGTCCATCGCCGCTCATTCCCTGTCTCACCTCATTATTCTGTAGAGGCTGCCGTGGGTTGCCTGGCTGATGAGTGGTGACGGTCAGGGAAAGAAAAACTTGCTGGTGGTTTTTGTTGTCTCCCACTCCCCAAACTCCTGGAAAACAAACAAACAAACAGACAAACAAAAACAAAAACTCACCCTGTTAAACAGATCAGTGCCACACATGAAATAGCATAAGAGTATTAAACTTTACAAAAGAATCCAAGAATAGTCAGAGAACTATTAGGCAGAATTTTAAATAGACTAAATGTTTACATAGACTAGATTTGATGTACCACAGAGTTAGGCTAACTACTCAGGTATAAATACAGAGGCAAAGATGGGCTATTATCTGAACTAGAAGTGTTTTCTATGGTTCCGGATTCAAATCATTGAGCTACAGGTGTAGGCTGAGAGTACATTACATTCACCAGTGTTAATATCCAACGTTCTTTCCCGAGTCCTAACCTTCACCCACATTGGCCACTCTTAGAATAAGTACAATTTAAACAGGCCATTTCTTCTTGAGATAGCGTAGGTTGTTTCTTCTCACAATAGTGTCCTTAGCTACAGTATAATTGGGTGCTTGAGAGTTCCGATACCCAGAACTGGGGGACAATAGCACAGGTTGTGGGTTTTAAAGAAAATCTTAACCTGCAACAGCGTAACAATAAAACTGAGTAATATCCATGGCACCCTGTGCAGTCTGGCAAGAATCCTAACCATTATTACAATGCCATTGCATAAATTCAAGAAGCTCTTTGTTAAAAAGACTTCTTAAAAAATGTATTCAGTCCTATTGTCTACCCAGGAATCATGTGCACTGTGTTATTTCAGCAAGCTCTTCTCTCTTTCAGCAATTGTCACTTGAAAATTTAATAGTATGAGATCCGACAATGCTTTTCTACCATGACGTCCCCTTTTAAATTAATTTAAAACTTTAGAAGTTGGAGAGATATAATGACAATGAAGAGAATTCCATGAAGATAGTCCAAGAAAACTGGCAAAACCTGGTGCCTCTTCTTTCTTTGCCCCATGTAATTCATTTAGCAAATACTGATGGAGCATCTCTTTTTTTTTAAGCACTAGGGATATAGCAGTGGACAAAACCCACTCCCTTGCAGAGTGCATATTCCAGTTAGGCATATCCTTCTCATAGAGAGACACAGACAGTAAACCAATACATCTATACCGTGTTCAGTAGAGCTAAGGGCTTAAACAAACAACAACAACAAAACTAGGACAAAGGGGATAGGAAATGACAGGACGGGGGATAGGATGTTGCTGTTTCATACTTGGTCAGGAAAGTTGACTGATGAAGAGAGACCTGAAACAAGCGAGGAAATGAGCCATGCGGATTACTCAGCAGATTAAAGCAGAGCAGG